TTGTTACAGCAGTAATATAAAAGTAATATTTTAGGACTGTGTGTACTATTCCTGTCCTTCCTAGCTTCATATCCCTGCCCACAATCCACTGCCACAAGCTACTGGTACCGCTGGTGCTCGGCAGACAGTGGGGTTTTGAGAACTTCAAATGACTGGCCCTCCAGAGGTTTGGGCTGCCCCTTAGCCTCTCCCACTACTGTCTTATCTCAACAGTAGAAAGTTCCCTGCTGGCCCACTTTCCACCCTCCCCAGTGTAGCAAGGAGGAGCAGAAACAGCCAGTACACGGGAAGCTGGACTTTGCCGGAGCCTAGATCATGAAGATTTTTTTTTTTTAATGGAGGAAGCCAATCTGGCCAGAATTTAAGCCAAATTTATAGGTGGACAGGGTCCTGAGTTGAAAGGTAATGCATGTGTGTCACCACATGATCTCTGTCCATCTGTTACTAGGTGACAAGGCAGGCTGGTCATTCTCTCTTGGTTCCAGCTCCTTATCTAAGGGATTTGGGGGAAGTGGATTCTTAGATTCAAGAGGAAGAATCTTAGACACTAGAGTCTTATTTCAACCTGCTGACTCCAATTGCCTTCTATACTAAAGCTCTTAATAAGTTTTCCTGTTATTAATACATAAACTGGAACCTTCTTTCCCATCCTTAAATACACTCCCTCAATCAGAAACCTGGACAGAAGTAAGAATAATGAAATCCTGAACCTTAAACTCCACACTGACTTAATAACAGTTTGTGCAGGATACACCAAATTGTATAGGTTACAGAACTTGTTAGCATGACTTCCAGAGACATTTGAGAAAATGACACCTGTTCTGATTCCCAGTTTTTTGCAAGGTGGGGATTTGGGCTTTGCTCACCCTGAAAGACTGAGGGTGAGGGTTAGGGAGTACATTTATACCTAAGTGGCCTGTGATCACATTTTTTACATAATAAAACTCTGAGATTGATGAGAATGTACCTGGTTCAGGTGAGGTGGTTTCAGGTACCTACTCATGAAGTTATGTATACAGTTGTTCCAGACATGAATAGATTGATCGGTGAACTGACAGATGGATGGATGAATTAATAGGTCAATGTGTGAGTGGAGGGGGAGTAAATGGGTGGATCAATGGGTGAGCGAGCAGGTAGGTAGATGGATCACTGATGGATCACTCAATAGATGACTTGGCTGGAAGGGAGACATTGATGGTCCCAGAAGAAGATCTGATACAATCCTCTCTTATTCAAATATTATTACCCACAGTAGTAGACTTCTTGGTGAAACTCTATTTTTAGTACTGGGGATTGAACCCAGAAGAAATTTGCCACTGAGCAAATTTCACTTATTTTTTATTTCGAGACAGGGTCTTTCTAAGTTGCCCAAGCTGGTTCTTAAACTTGCCATCTTCCTGCCTCAGCCACTCAGGTTCACCCAGCTTCTTGGTGAAACTTTGAGGCCAGGAGTCTGCCCCTCTGCCTCTTAGAAAACAATGCTGGTCTCACTGGCCTATAGACTGTGTTGACATTTTCTTTTTAGGCATCCTTTAGATGTATAAACCCTGTCTGCATGACCCAGTGACATGAATGCTTTGTTTTTCTGATGACCTGAACTTACTATTGACCTTTGTGAATACCAAGTCCTGTCTGCCCCACTTGTCTCTGGGGCTGAAGCTGCTTGTTCCATCTCAGCTGCCACCATGACAATTCATTCTGAGTGACTTCTAGCCAGTTTCTGCTTGCTGCAGAATGGCTAGGCACTCTCATGTGTACCAATCCCAAGTGCAATCCCAATGCCCTCAGGGATAACCTTTGATTATGGAAAACAGGACCAGTAAATTGTGACCCCTTCCTAACTCTGGAAGAGGTCTTGAGACAGGTGTTCCTATAGTCTCTCAGAAGGGTCTTCAAGAGTAAGCACATGATCCTACATTGCATCATTCCCTACCTTGATTCTCTTTTTAGTCACTCTTGCTTCCCTAGATGCACTCTGCAACAAAGTGGTAGCTAATAAACATCTGTCTTCTGAGGCACTCAGGCCAAGATCAGATTAATATTACTATTTACACAATCCAGTTTCGATTAAGCACAAGATGCTTGGACCTCTTTAAAGGTTTAGCCTATTGATCATTGCCCTATACACAACTAGGCTGTGAGCTATTCATTTTGGTATCCTCAACACTGAGTATCAGGTTTGAATTTTTTACCACATCCCCATTCTTCTCTTATTGTTTTTCATAAAATTAACCATGTTGGACAGGTGCTCTTCATGGGTACTTGAATCTTCTGCTGTGTGTTCAGCTTTGATAGCACCTTTTTCAAATTCTCCTGGTGTTCAAACTCAGTAGCATCTTTTTTCAGAAGGGTGACTTTTTAAGTTGGTGGTGCAGCATTCAAAAAGGCAAAGAGAAGATTCAGTAATGTCTTCTGTGGTACACTGAAAATAGTCCCCAAAGATACCCAATGTAGAGTTCTCTAGACTCTGTGAATGTTTTCTCATTTGGCAAAGATATGATTAACTTAAAGGTCTGGAGATGAGGACTGGCCTGGATTCTTTGATGGTTCTTAATACAATCACACACATCCATATAAGACAGAGGCGAGGCAGACTTCACAAACACAGAGAAGTCAATGCAACCATGGAGCAGAGAGACATTTGAAGATGTTAGCAGTGAAGATTGGAGTGATGTGGCCACAAATTCAGGAATGCTGGCATCAACCACCAGAAGCTGGAAGGGCCAAAGAACAAATCCCCCCAGACGCCCTAGAGGCAGCTCAGCCTTGCTCAATATGTGACTTCAGCTCAGTGAGACGGATTTCAGGGAAAGAGGACCAGGAGATAAATTCTGATCACTTCCTATCTGGAAGCAGGTCTCAGGACAGGTGTTCCTACAATCTCTTCTGAGTCCTTAAGAATAAGCATTCAGATACATTCTCCAGCAAAATGGTAGCTTATAAAAATCCTTGCTGGGGAACTCAGGCCAAGACCTGATTCACATTACTATTTACACAGTCTAGTTTGATTTTAGACATCTGTCCTCTAGAGCTGCAAGAGAACACATTTCTGTTGCTTGTAGGCTACCTCATCTGTGTAATCAAAGTCTGCTTTCTTTAAATTGTTTCTAATTGTGATCAGGAATCTGACATTTTACCAAAGATATATTTTGTGAACAAAAACATAAACAAAAGCCTATCTTTCAGAGAGAAGGTTAAGATCTAGCTGGCCCCTCACCATGATCCTTCTAACCCTCACCCACTCTAAGCCCTTCCATCCAACACATCAGTGTGTTTCTTTTCCTTTTTTCCTTTCATAGGTTTTTATTGGTGCATTATAATTATACGTAATGTGAGATTCATTGTTATATATTCATACATGCATAGGACATAACAATATAATTTGGTCAATGTCATTCTCCAGTATTTCTCCTTTTCCTCTTCTCCTCCCCCTCGCCCCCCATCCCTTTCTTCTACTCTACTGATCTCACCTCTATTTTTATGAGATTTCTGCCCTACACACACACACACACACACACACACACACACCTCTTTTTCTTCTCTAGCTTCCACATATAAGAAATCCACAATCCTTGACATTCTTAGTTTGACTTATTTCGCTTCACATAATGGTCTCTAATTCCACCCATTTTCCTGCAAATGACGTAATTTTATTTTTCTTTATGGGTGATAAAACTATTGTGTATTTTATCACCCATAAAGAAAAATAAATGTGTTCTCTTACAGCTCTAGAGGACAGATGTCTAAAATCAAACTAGACTGTGTAAATTTTCTTTATCCATTCATCCACTGATGGACACCTAGGCTGGTTCCGTAACTTGGCTATTGTCAACTGTACTGCTATAAACACGGGTATGCATGTATCACTACAGTATACTGATTTTAATTCTTTAGGATGAATACCAAGGAATGATATAGCTGGGTAATATGGTTGGTCCATTCCTAATCTTTTGAGAAACCTCCATAATGAATGTCAGTGTTTTCCAAAATGTGGTCCAAAGACTGCCCACACTGAATCACCTGTAGCACTTTGTTAAAGATGTAAAGCCCATGAAACCACCCCAAATGATAAAAGGCCTAAGGTGAGGTACAGGCATCTGTTGCCTGAACAAGCAAACCAGGTAATGCTTAGCACACCAATTTTTGAGAAGCTCCAATATCAAAGAACCAGAAGTGAGCCAACAGTTCTTCCCTCCGTGGCTCAGTGTTGAAACCACTGATCCTGGGCCAGGTCCGAACTTATCAGGGGAAGCCACTGCTGGGCTCCCAGAGCTAGATGCTTGTGATGAATGCCAGGCTGAGCTTTTAAAGCATCCATGAGTCCTGTCCCCTCTGCCATTCATTCCACAAAGACAATTGCATAGGCGCTCAGGGAGTCAGGGACTATAAATATTTTTGACGACATGAGTTGACATTAGGCAACTCATAGAAATTTAATTTTTAACTAAAAAGACCTTCATCAAACAATAATAGCTTATAAATACTCTGTGATTCTACTTTTGGGAACGTATCCTACAAATTGCTTTATGATGGTATATATGTAGAGGATTATTCACTGCAGAACTCACTGTAACAGCAAAAGATCAGGCAGAGTGAAAATGCCCATCACTGTGGAGTTGGTGAAATAAATTATGGAAAATCCACACAATGAAAAATAATGAGGAAACTGTAAGTATTGATATGGAAATGTCTCCGAGTTAGATTGTTAAGGGGAAAAAAAAGCAAGGTGCAGAACATGTGTATAATAAGATACCTTGTGTACAGAAAGGGAATGATAAAAATCTACATTCCTATTTGCTTGAATATTTATAAAGAATTGCTGGAAATGTGTATGAGAACTGCAGTTACCTCAGTGCCAGGGGATGGGAACCGAGCAGACAGGAAACAATGATGGGAGGAGACCTTTCGCTCTCTATATGATTATACTTTGGGATTCAGAACCATGTGAGTGCATTAAGTATTCAAAAAATTAATACAATAAATTTAAAATATGCATTTATTGTGGCCCTGGGAACAAGCAATCTCATTTTGCTCTCCACACTTGCTCATCTTGCTATCACCTGAAAGTCCTGGTGTCCCAGTAGAGCTCCCCAGGTTGGGTGCCACACAGTGGAGGGCACTGCCATTCCTACTGTTCCTGTGGGTTAGGCTGGTACTCCAGACCAGAAAGCAATCCAAAGTAGCAGCGGGAGGTCAGGCAGGCCTTGGGTCTCCTATCAGGAAGAAGCAGCTCCATGAGTTTCTCTTTGGGTCCACTGAGCCCAGCGAAGCTCTAGGAGAGGAAGGGTCCCAGCGCGGCTCCTAGTACAGAGGCATCAGCTGTTCCTGACTCATGAGGGAGGAGTGGTGGTAGCGATCTCGAGTGGCAAAGTCTGTGTTCTCCTGGGTGAGCTGAGTCATCTCCATGTCAACCCTAGCCAGGGACGGTGCCAAAATGATCTGCTCCTGGGACCGCAAGCTCCTTCAGTGAGAGACACAGAGGACAGTAAGGAGGATGGAGAAGCAGAGAGGGAATAGCAGAGACAACTCTACTCTGGACAGATGTATTTGTAAACTGAAGCAGGAGGATTGCAAGTTCAAAACCAGCCTCCAGCTGGGCACAGTGGCACAAGCCTGTAATCCCAGCAGCTTGGGAGGCTGAGACAGGAGAATCACGAGTTCACAGCCAGCCTCAGCAATGGCAAGGCACTAAGCAACTCAGTGAGACCCCGTCTCTAAATAAAAACACACACAAACACTTACACACACACACACAAAATAGGGCTGATGATGTAGCTCAGTGGCCAAGTGCCTTTGAGTTCAGTCCCCAGTATATCCGCCCCGCAAAAAGATATATATATATATATTAAACAGTCTCAGCAACTTAGAGAGGTTCTGAGCAACTCAGAAATACCCTGTCTCTAAATAAAATATAAAAAAGGGCTGGCTCACAATAGGCACTGGGGGAGGTAGCAGGGGAAGTTCACTGATTGGACCAGAGAGAGAAGTGGGAAAGGAGGGAGGATGGGAACAGGAAAGACAGTAGAATAAATCAGATATAACTTTCCCATGTTCGTATATGAATTCACAACCAGTGTAACTCCACATGGCATACAACCACAAAAATGGGAAGTTATACTCCCTGTATGTATGTTATGTCAAAATACATTCTACTGTCACACATAACTAAGAAGAACAAACATAAAATTAAAAAAGGTCAACTCAAAGTGGATCAAAGACTTAGAAATTAAACCAGAGACCCTGCATCTAATAGAAGAAAAAGCAGGCACTAATCTTCATCATGTCATCATGTCGAATTAGGCCCCACTTCCTTAATAAGACTCCTGTAGTGCAAGAATTAAAATCAAGAATCAATAAATGGGATGAACTCAAACTAAAAAGTTTCTTCTCAGCAAAAGAAACCATCTGGGAGGTGAATAGAGAGCCTACATCTTGGGAGCAAATTTTTATCCCTCACACATCAGATAGAGCACTAATCTCTAGGGTATATAAAGAACTCAAAAAGCTAAACACCAAAAAAAAACAAACAAACAAACAAAAAAAAACAAATAACCCAATCAATAAATGAGCCAAGGACCTGAACAGACACTTCTCAGAAGAGGATATACAATCAATCAACAAATATATGAAAAAATGTTCATCATCACTAGCAATTAGAGAAATGCAAATCAAAACTAAGATATCATCTCACTCCAGTCAGAATGCAGCTATTATACATACAAACAACAATAAGTGTTGGCGAGGATATGTGGAAAAAGGTATACTCATACACTGCTGGTGGGACTGCAAATTGGTGCAGCAGCCAATATGGAAAGCAGTATGGAGATTCCTTGGAAAACCTAAAATGGAACCACCATTTGACCCAGTTATCCCTCTCCTCGGTCTACACCCAAAGGACTTAAAAACAGCATAGTACAGGGACACAGCCACAATTCACAATAGCTAAACTGTGCAACCAACCTAGATGCCCTTCAGTAGATGAATGGATTAAAAAATGTGGCATATATACACAATGGAATATGACTCAGCAATAGAAGAGAATAAAATCATGGCATTTGCAGGTAAATGGATGGAGTTAGAGAAGATAATGCTAAGTGAAGTTAGCCAATCCCCCCCAAAAAATGCCGAATGTTTTCTCTGATATAAGGAGGCTGATTCATAGTGGGGTAGAGAGGGGGAGCATGGGAGGAATAGATGAACTCTAGATAGGGCAGAGGGGTGGGAGGAGAAGGGAGGGGGCAAGGGATTAGAAATGATGGTGGAATGTGATGGACATCATTATCAAAAGTACATGCATGAAGACACGAATTGATGTGAATATTCTTTGTATACAACCAAAAAAAAAAAAATAAGTGGATGATGAGTTGGAGCCCAGAAAGGTCATGTGTAAGACAGTGGCTAATACAAAGAGACTTCCTGGTACTTAAATAGAACCGGGAGTTGGGGGCAGACTGTATGCTTGCATTTCTCTCACTAGTTATCTTTGTGTACAGTGGGTTAGATTCAGCAAAATAATTCAAGCTGTTATGTTAAAATCATCATGTAATTTGGATTTTGTTCATATTGAAGTTTTGTCCATATTTAATTTTTATAAGCTTGGTTTTTCTACCTAACTATAATCTGCACATATTAAATAAATTGAGTCAGTAATGGGAAAAAAAGTAAAATAAAATTTGAAAAGTGGGGGACTGGGGATGTAACTTAATGGTGAAGTACCTCCTGGGTTCAATCCTTGGTACAATAGATAGATAGATAGATAGATAGATAGATAGATAGATAAAATCGGTTGTGCTAATGTTTAGCATGTATTTAAATGTTTAAAACACAATTGTGCTCTTTTTGTTTGTTATTGTAGTGCTGGGGATTAAACCCAGGGCCTTGTGCAGGCTAGCCAAGTGCTCCCTCTGAGCTACACCCCAGCCCAAAGTATTGACAGCTATATGTACAACAGTTTGTGAACTCAAAGTATGAGAAATAGTCTACCCAAGGAGAGAGAGAGGAAGATTGATTTACCCTTCTTAAGTAGAAAAGCATAAAACCTGAAGGGAGACAACCCATAAAGAGAGTTTTCCCCTTACAAACTGTGTTGTGTTGGGCCTCTATAGCTTTTCTTTGCTCTTTTTTTTTTTTAATCAAATGAAATAATGGAATGGAGAATTGAGAAGAGTGTGAAGAAATACCTTCTCTCTGATTTACTGGATGGAAAGTTGAATGAGGAATGATTTCCAGAGAGCTAAGGTTTATATAGCTAACAGCTAAGAGGTAAACTGCAGAAGCTTTTGACACCAAGTGCCCTCCAAACAAAGACAAGTCCAATATAGATTCCATTGTCACTACAGTCTCTGCATACCATTACAGTTGGAATAAACCCGTAAAGAAAAAGTTAGAGATACCCAAGGAAAGTGCGAATCAGAAGGAAATTAAGGAAAGCCCAGACTGGCAGCCAGCACAGCTGCAGAAGGCAGATCTGGTCTCAATTCCCTCCCTAATCAGCTCAGTGGTCACAGGAAGCCTCTTTATGTCCACATACCTCCATTTTCTTACCTTTCCAGAAAGGTTGATATTGAAGTTTTGTCCATATTTAATTTTTATAAGCTTGGTTTTTCTACCTAAAATCTGCAGTTCCTACAGATCTTAAGTCTTCACTGAGAGCCAGCTACTTTACTATTAGTAAGGTTCAATTGTTTAAATCAGGAATATATTTGAAAGTTGTAAAAAGATAGAAATCTAGTGTCATCAATCTATGGAACTTAAGCAATAACTTCTACTGACTCTGTAAAATGCCCAATTATAAGAAGATCAGATCACATGACTACGGCAATATTTGTAGAGAACATATTTGAATAACATAGATTGAGAGCTCCTGAAAGCTGGATTAACATCTACAAAGGTTGAATCTTCAAAAAGTAAGATCAGTGGGTCTGGGGTTGTGGCTCAGAGGTAGAGCGCTCACCCAGCTCATGCGAAGTATGAGCACCACATAAAAATAAATAAAATAAAAGGTGCTTTGTCTACCTGCAATTTAAAAATATTTTTTTAAAAAGTAAGATTAAGAAGTGACAAAATGCCACACCAGTCATTCATCACAAGGGGTTTTGCTGATGCACTTTTTTTTTTTTTTTTGGCTAACATTCTTTTAATCTTTTCTTTCTTTTACTTTTTTTAATAGATGAAGCCATTGTACTCTTTTGAGTCCATGGAAATAATATACAATACTTTGCTCTTTAGAATGGCTTAAGTATCCCCATCTGGACAGCTGCTAAGGCTTCAGGAAAGAAAGTTTTCTGGAGGCCAGGCTAACTTCACCTAGTAATGGGAGCTCTAGGTGTAACAGAGACATTACACTCAAATCCTTCTACTCGAACACTTGACTACATTATTTTTCTTCTTCTTTGACCTTGAAGGACATTTGGGGATATAGTGGGGAGGCCTCAAAACCACAAAACAGAAAACTCAGCTACCAATTTCTATTTTAAATGAGTCACCATTTCTTGGTCCTTTCCCCTCCTGAATAACCACAATATATGGCCCAGCATCTTCCATGAGCCCAGCAGCTCTGACGCTGACTTAGCTGAGGCTCACTGCCCACTTCACTAGCCCTGGCACCAAGACGGCTATGAATCCTGAGAACTGTCCTTTTCTAGATCAATCTCTTTCTAATACATCATTCTTCCTACACAGGACTACAGTGACCTTCAAGGTAAAATTCCAAGAATTTGGGGTACCACCAACCAGTGGTGACCTCCCATGGCCATCCTTAGGCTTTAAAACTGGAAATGACCTAAAATATTCTTGTAAATCAGACCACATCAAAATGTCATCACCCACACACCAACCACAGCTCAAGAACGTGTAGGCCACTTCCACACAGAATCCATTTCCACTTCTACTCTACTTGTCCTCAGGACCAGGTTGCAGAGATCAGTATGGGTATGCATGAGCTGAGTCACCCAGCCTTGTGCCTCAGACTGGATGAGAGGAAGACAGGCCGCCCACCCTTCCTGGAGCCCCACACAGGACATAGACACCCATGCAGATGACGGCGTCTCCTCAACACACTCCACCCTTTGTTCCTCCCTCAGTGTGTGACTCCCTCCCTGTTGGTTTCTAAAGTGCTGCTCCTTTTTCTTTATCCAAGCTCCAGCATCAAGGTTTCATTTCCTCTGCCAACGTGAACAGATCGGTAGTGTTGGCCAAGAGCTGTCCTTGGAGGGATTCTGGGAAATGAGGAGTGATGGTATAATGGGTATGTGTGTCAGTTTATGAAGATTAAAAAATTCTGGAGTTGTGTTGTGATGGTGGTTACATGACAACGTGAGTGAACTTAACACCACTGAATGGTACATTTAAAAATGGTTAAGAAGGTAAAGTCTTTCTTATGTGTATTTTACCACAATAAAAACAGGAAGTTGGGAAATTCTAAAGTTACACATCATTGGGCATGGAAGGTGGGAATCCTGGCAAATGCAAACCATATATCAAGAGCTTTCAAAAATAAACAAACTAACCCACGCCAGGTGTGGTGGCACAAACCTGTAATCCCAGAAGCTTAGGAGACTGAGGCTGGAAGATTGTGAGTTCAAAGCCAGCCTCAGTAATTTAGCAAGACCTTAAGTAACTTAGTAAGACTCTGACTCAAAATAAAACATAAAAAGGGCTGTGGATGTGGCTCAGTGGTTAAGCACTCTAGCTCAATCCCTGGTACCCAAAACCAAACCAAACCAAACCAAAAAACCACAAAATGAAACCTAGTAAACACTTGGTTGGATGGGTTCTGCCTAGATTTTCCCAGTCTGCAGCTTTGGCCCCTCACTGATATTGAAAGAGGATGGAACAGTGGGATGATTCCCCAGAATCCTGAGGTTTTAAAAGGTGAGGAAGTGTCAGCACTACAGAGTGGAGGGGAAGGAGAAAGATTAGGGCCAAGGGACAGTGCACTCTCAACCTTGTGCATGTTAGACAGCACTCTGACACTGATCTACACTGATCAGGGCCATGTGGAACCTTACCTTCTCTCTGAAGCCTTCTCATGTGTCTCAGGAAAGTTGATTCCCTTCCCTGGGTATCTCTATCTGAATGTGGAGCAATTCTCCAGGATCCCTACTTTATTTCTGAGGTTGTTTTCTGCACTGTCACCAACACAGTGACATGAGCTATCTCTGCCTGGAGAGAGAGGAATAGGAGTTCTACTTTCACATTTCCTTTGGCTTTAATCTTCTATATGCTTAGGTGCTGATGCTAATGTCCTAGACCATGAACTCACTGCGAGTAGCTCTCCTGAGTTGCCATCCCAGCAATCAGAATCTAGACAACCCTCCTGTGCATAATGACTGAGGATAAGAAGGGAAGCGGACATGAACTGGGGAAAGCTTCTGATGAGCTGAAGCTGGGGACTGGTGTGGTGCAGGGCAGTGAGGAGAAAGGTGAGCCTCCTGGAGGCTCTCAGGGATCAGGTTTCCACATTGCAGTTCAGTCCAGCCAGGAATGGGATCACTTAGCACTTCCCAGGACCCAGGGACACTCATCCATCCTGGTACCAGTCCCAAAATTGGCACAGACCTGTAGGAGGGCATCAGAAGAGATCGTATCCATCGGAAAAAACTGAAGTTGGAGGCTAATCCTGCAGGGAAGACAGACATATAAATATTTATGAAGCTTCTACATAGGCATCTAGAGTCGCATTTTAATCAGGTGAATGTGCACCTCAACACGCACGCACACACACACACACACACACACACCATAAGCACAGTTTTCCCCTCTTTGTTGTAATACTGCCTGAGGCAGCCTATTAAGGACTTTGTACCGATATGCAGCTTCCAAAATTTTTTTTCTAAATTATACTTCTGTCTTAGGAGTTCAACATTTTGTATGATGCTTTTAATATTATCCATATTATTAATTTTTAATAATATTTTTAGATTCACACCAACATGTGTTGAATGCATGCTATGAAATCTCCCCACTAGACCACACACTCTTTGAGAGTAGGGAACATGTTTCTTTCATCCTTGCAACACTCAGAGGATCTGGCCCTTGGGAAGTTTTCAGCAGGCATTAAGTTAATCACACAGCTCAACATGTAAAAATGTTAGAACTACGGCAGGAAGTGAGACTGCTATTGATACTGGCCAAATAATTCTGATATTAAATACACTGATTTGAATAGGAGTTCTTGATTCATTTTTTTACTACTAGAACTTTATACCTCTATACTTGTACATTGTAGTTGAGTTCATCCCCAAAAAACTCATACATACATGGAAATCAATTTCAGTTCATCATCCCTCCTTTTTCCTTCCCATTCACCCCATCCCCCATTCTCCTTCCTCTATTAGACTTCCTTTTGCTTGTCTATTTATTTCTATATGGTTATCAATCTTTTTTAAAAACCCATCCTTTCTTTGGTGTAGGTTTACAAAAAATATCTCATATAATAACTTTAAATAACTTTGGAAAAACAAATAAACCATAATTTTAGAAAATGTTTTTTAAATTATATATAGATACATAGTGGGAAATTGATTAATTAGATCATGTGCATTATAGGATCAGGAAGTTAGCATTATTTTAAGAGGCTTACATTAGAATCTTGGTTAATGTCAACAGTATGCAGTTGATAATATGTTTACTCTGTATCATTTAGTGTTCTTAAGATTAAAGGAAGCATAAATTTTATATTTATGCTAAAATCAGAAATAGCAAAGAGAAGATTCCTAATATACTTAGCAAGTCAGTACATATTGTCAGAAGTCAGAAAGTAAAAATTACCAAGGTGAAGCCCTGGACTGGCGTGGCCGATGTAGAGGTACACGATGGCAGCCACACCAACGTTAGCCAGGGTATAGACCCACTGGATCACAAACACGATGAGAAGGGACCCAATTGCCTACAGGAACAGTTGGAAGACAAGTTACCTAACAGTTTTCCATATGGTAAGCAAGTCAAGGGCTTGAGAAACATTAGTCTCTCTCATCAACTGATCACTGCCAAAGTCTGAACAACTGAAGTTCACTCATAATTCAAGAAACCTCACTTAAGTACATATTTGGGATAACAAATACCTCTGAAATTATTTAATCAAAATTATTCACAAACAGGTATCCTATCCTAGTTCCTTGTCCCATTCCTCCTCACAAGCAACATGTTTGTATGAACCCAATGTAACCCAGAGGTTATCAGGTATAATTATTTAGTAAGTAAATAATTGATTAAATAAGTGATCCATTAAATGTAAATCTTGCCAAATGTAGTCTCATCTAAATTTCAATACAGAAAGCAATTAAATCACTTTGCTCCTAATTAGCCCTTTTCCTCCTCAAATCACACATCCTCCTCCTGAATTATTTTTCAAGATAATTGAGATCAAGATGAAGTTACTCACCCCTAGCAGGGAGACCCAGGGGTTGCACATGCGGGTGTAGAAAGTAGTTGGTCTCCTCTGGATTTCTTGTTCCTGAAGTCTGGGCTTCAGGGAGAAGTCTAATAAATAAATTAGCCAAATCCTTGATTACAAATTTGCTACCCAACATTTTTATACTCTGCTGTATTTATATATAAGCAAATATGCCTAAGTTCCTCTACCCCAATGTTATAACTCAGCCTGAAGACAACTCCTATCACTTGCTCTTGGAAAAGAGAATAAGGAAGGGTTAGTGGCCTCCTATCCACCAAGGATCTGATAGGAAAGGGAAGGGAGGGGCGGAGTAGAAATGGAAGCTTCCCTGAAACCCACTGCACATCCATTTAGATTTGCCATCTGGGGAAATGGAAGTTCAGATCTCCCCTGGTATTCTTAGCCCTTAGATGTGACCACCTGCACAGATGGGTTGGGTTGGCTTTTGTCTACTGCAAGAGTGTTTTTGCTATCTGCTGACTCTGAAGGTAAGCTCAGGTCAGCCTCATCTCAGGTTTAGACTAGAAGATGAAGAAGGAGAAAGAGGAAGGGAGAATGGTTCCTTTGATTCCCTCTTCTGGTGGTTGAGGGGACTGAGTGGGAAAAGGGTCTGGTCATAAATGCATGTATGGTCCCACTTCATCCTCCAAGGAGTTCAGGCACATTGGGGTTTCTCAAAAACATGCCATGTATTATGTGGTTCTGTCTTCCTCATATACCTGGTTCCAGAAATGACCAATTTAATCATGAAAATGCATATAGATTGTTTAGCAAGATGGTCTAACTACCATGAATGCTGCAATGGTTATTTCAAACAAATGGTATGTTGGATTAACTTTGCTGTATATTTATACTGTGAGAAATAGAAAGTCCAGTGGTCCATTTTCAGAATATAGTCTTCAGTCTTAATTGGGATAGAAGAGTCGATTGTAGCCATTTTAACTACAGCCCTTCCCTGTGCCCACCCCAATTTTCAAATTAGCCAATTGCATAGATTGTAGCCCTGAGCTCCTCCTATTAGAGCAAGGAGAAGTGCTGTGTTAGGGATAAAAACAAGCAGACTTCCTGCCCAAGTGTGTTTGTTTGCCAGACTTGTTTTGTAGCACACCCTCCTGCAGAAGTAAAGTTGGCCTTGCTGAGCTACTTCTGAGTATGTGTTTGATTCCTTGTGGCTCCCGGGTATTTCTAACAATACTCATTTCAACACTAAACCTTCATAGTTTGTTGCTCAGGAAATATGGTTGTCAGCTCCCTAACTCTCCATTCTCCAGTCCCAATTCCTGATGCAGCAAAAATGCTTTGAGTATGCTATCTCTTCTGCCCAGCCCCTCCCCGCTGTGTATCCTGACCCTGTCTCAAGCAGCAGTCTTCTTCTGCATCTCAGCTGCTTCTGAGGGGTTGGCCCTAGGAATCCAGCTGCGACCCATTTTGCCATGGATCCCCTAACTCCCAACTTGTCTAACTCCTATTCATCCCTCAGATCTCAGCTCAATATCACTTCCTCCCAGAAATTGGTCCCCAACACAGAAATCAAAATTTGTTCCTTCATACCATTAATATTTCCTTATGATCCATTTTCTTTCCTTCATAGAACACACCATTATTTGTAGTTGTATGGTTATTTATATACTTCTAGGTCCATTGGATTACAGCGTCCATGTCTGTCTTAAGTGCAGGCCTTGGCACGTAGCTGGCATTCATTAAGTATTCCTATTACAAATCTTCCTTCCTCTCTAGTTACTGCGACTTTCTGACCTAGCCCCCTGAAGCACATTCCTTCAGATTATTTCACTCCCTGCCCTTTATCTTTGCTGATCTTTCCCAACTTCCTGGTTACTCCCCCTTCTCTTGGTCCAGGTTTCAGCCCCTGACTCAGCATCTTTCTGTCTCTACTGTGATGGATGACAAACCAGCCCTGGATGGAAGGAACACTGCCAAGAAAACTAGTGCCTGGGAAAGGGAGAGTTCCCCTGGCCTTTAGTCAGGCCTTCTTCAGGAAACCTAATCAACCCCATAGACCACTACCTTTTGGATTATAAGTCTCTACATCTAGGAATCTACTCCTCTTCAAAGTGTAAATGCTCCTGTTGAGGCTTTGTGAGAGGAGCCAGTTTCCCCTTATTGCACTGTAGCCGTGGTTCCTGCTAGAACCCCATGCGCACAGCCTTCTATGGTGTACACTAGAAATGTTCTGGCACCAGATGACCTATAAATGCTGTGAGAAACTGGAGATGGGGGCTCAGAATTTGGTGTCTGGTCTCCCCTGGGCCCACCACTGTAAAATAAAGTTTGAGTTCTCCCACATTCTGAGTGCCGTTTGCCATTTCTTGACTGGTCTGATTCCCGCAATGCTACTACATAATCATTCTGGGTGACTTCATGGTGCTCTCTACATAAACAACTTACTTAATGCCCTGTTTTCTGAGTTCCTTCAAGTCCTCCTCTAACAATCTTTTTAAAGTTTTTATCTTGGCAGGGATCAAATCCTCATACCCACTAGGAATCTCACACCACATCCACAATCCCCCAATCCTTCACTTGTCTCAACTATCAACTCCCCTTAGTCACACTTGAGGCTCATCATCACCAGTAACTTTAGACTTCTTATACGCAGTTTTTGGTTTGTTGTACAGTTTTCCTTGAAACACAATTCTTCTGAACAGATTTACTATATCAGGGCAATTATACAATTTTATATTTCTTGTTTATTCTTGAAATATCACTCTTCAGAAAGAATATACCGAAGGACTTCCAGTTATGGTAGTGTGAAGAGGCCAGTAAATTTTCTTCCCCCCAAATAAGTACAAAATGAAACAAAGTAGTCAAACACAACCACTTCAGGGCTCTAGAAACTTACCAAATGAAGACATCAAACTGAAAAGCATTTATTTGTCAAAAATTGCTGAAACTAAGGGTAAGAACAGTGAGAGTCTCTGACCTTCCTGCCCAAGCGGCTCCCTTTCCTGTCCCAGTTCTTTCCAGTATGGAGCTGGTCAGACACCAGCAGTTTTGCTGCCAAAGGGAATAAATAACTTGGATCAGGGGTGGGGGAAAGCTACCCTTGTAAGTTGAATAGTATAAGTACAGTAGAAAAATGGACAGGGAAAGTCCTTAGATTTGCAAGAATGAGGGTACAGACCCAGCTAGGATGATCAATAGACCAGCCAGAAATGTAATGGAGAGAGCCTGGAGGTGAAAAAGCCATGAAGGGACCAAATAACTTCCCATATTTTCCTGAATGTCAGGAAAACAATGTCCATGACTGGGAAGACCTGAGAGAGCCTGGCAAAAAGTAAAAGCCAGGGGAGACAAGAACTGGCTGAAACTTCGTGCTTCCCAGCCCACACACAGATGGACTAGTAGAGAGTGGAAGCTTTATGAATTATACAGACACAGGGGCAACCTCCTAGGAAGCTCATTAAAATGAGAATAAAAAACTGACTAAAGACATCAGCAGCCACATACCACAGGGAGATGGATTCCACAGTTCAAATCCAGGCAATTTACAAAAACACACAAATGAAACCGATATATAAAAACTCAGAAATAAACATCAGAATCAAGAACTGCTGCAATTTACCCACACTGTCCAGTTTTCAACCAAAGATTTTATAAGACACGCGATGAAACAGGAAACTGTGACCCATTCTCAAGACCAAAAATAAAAATTAAAAATTAAAAAAAAGAAAAACATGAGATGCTGACTGTGCATTAGGCCTACATGTTAGATTTGGCACACAAAGACCTCAAAGCAGTCATTTTTAAATATGTTCAAAGAATTAAAGAAAAATACAATGTCAATGATCCAAAGCAGATATGATGACAATGACTTTAAAAATAGGGAATATCAATACACAAATGTAAACTACTAAAAAGAACCAGAGGAAAAGTAAAGAGTTAAAAACCACAATATCAGAGATGAAAAATTTACTAAATGGGCTCCTCAGCTGATTTGAGAAGGAGAAAGGATCAGCAAACTTGAAAATAGAGCAATAGGAATGATCCAAAGTGAAGAACAGAGGGGAAAGTAGGAAGGAAAAGGAACAGAGCCTCAGAGACCTACAGGACAATGTGTACTAACAAATGTACAATGGGCCCCATGGGGCAGCAGAGAAAGGGCAGGAAAAAAATATTTGAAGAAACAAATTGGCCAAAATTTCCCAAATTGAAGAGAAACTTTAATCAATAGTTCTAGGAAGAGCATATCAGTTTTTTCCAGCAAAGTGTACATATACCTGATTTCCACAGACCTACCATTTTTAATCTAAATTTTGGTAACTTAACATATATGCAATGATATCATAAAAGTGATTTGTGTTCATTTCATCAATGAACACATGGCCTAATTCATAAGAAACACAGCAAGTGTTATAAACTTTGTACAGAAGTTAAGAGAACAGGTTTAAAGCCAGATAAATCTGGGTTCGTATTCTGTCTTGAACAAGTGCCCAACTTCTCAAAGTGTTTTATTAAAAAATAATAATAATAATAATGCCCAACTCTGAGCTTAGGAATGAAATAATCCTTATCAAGCGCTTACTTGGTAGTAAGTCAGATAGGACATACTCGGTAAATGATGGGTATTTCTAGTTCCTAACAATATTTAGTTTGTTGAATGAACATGAATGAATCTGGGGACTGATTTTTTTTTCAAATGTAAACGTGTATTCATCTCTCCTGACCCCTTTTTAGAATCTGGATTTTGACTTTCCTATGCTTTTTAAAGAATATGCTTTGGAAGTTGTGCTTTTATCAGTTGTGATTGTCAGAATAATCATTTCCTTCTGTGACACTGTGTTATTCAAATGTTTTTTATTTCTATTTAATCAGATCCATTTTGTTTTTGATGATGTCCACAATAGTCAGAAATATCTCTCTTGCGCAGCTGTTATAAATAAGGAATCCATGCATATATAAGGTATAGTCCCAAGCTATTTTTTAATCCATTTACTCTCAAGAATGATTTATTCAACTGTGATTTGATGACATCTGGGTTGTCAAAGATTAGGTTCTTATAACAGTTTAACTCTTTTTTAAAAATATATTTTTTAAGTTATAGCTGGACACAATACCTTTATTTTATTTT